GATGAACTCCATCAAAGTGTTTCCATGCCTCGCCATCAGATGATTGTCGCATCACACCTGAACTAATTATGTTTGTATGGTTCCATATCATTTGGCTTGTGTTGTGCATTGATGTAAGCATTCTTTGCAACCTAGGTATTATTGACAGATAGAACATGAACTTTACTGCAACTCGTTTTTTCTTTCGATTAGCTCCTTTACTGCGAACTAAATACTCTGGACTATTGAAAAACTTACATACCTCCAATTCCCCGTCATTTGTACTAAACTCGTTGTCATAAAACAACATACAACAATCAATGCAACAGTCAATCTTTTTTACTTCTAGTCCCAACTTCGACATCATCCTCTTTGCATCATAATAGCTTGTAGGCATGTTTTCCTTCACAGGAGTTGCGTCCAACATCATTCTCGCAAAGAATTCCAAACATTGATCAGGAATATTTTAATTTGACTTCACAGCCAAAAACCTCACATACATTGATAGCCCAGAGTCAGAAGACCCCTCAAATAATGGTATATTTATTTCTTTCAACAATTGATAAAACTTTTGCGCTTTCTCATTCGGGAGTTCTTCTACGTCAAAGTCTTGAAGTTCATCATAAGCCACATTCACCCCTAATGCGTCACTGACCATATCCTCGACTAGATTAAATTATTCCTAGCATTGCATATGTGATGGACTCCCTGGATCATCTCTATTTGTATCTGGTCCAATACGTGTTTGACTGCTAGAAGCTTCCCTATTCATCTCAGGCATTTTCCCCATTAGATGTCCAAACCCAATAATTTGACCTAAAATCCACTTTCTCCAAGTGACGTTTCACTTCATTAGGGTCACTAATAATATTTATGCAACCACACTTTAAACATGGACACCTTACCCCTCTTTCACTTTGACAACATTCTTGACCAAACGCATACGAGAGAAACCCGACAACTCCTTTCTTAAAAGTGGTTTAAGCTCACGTCTTCCAGAAAACATTCTATCATACATCCAACTACGATAAAATTGATAATATTCCATACTGTACATGTACAACATTGATCTTGTTTAATTTTATTGAATAAAATGGGGATTGATCTAACGACAAATTTTTAATTTTTTATCAAAAAAATCATAAAACTAGTTATAGATTTCATGATATTCAATACAATATATCTACTCCAATTAAACATTTATTCATACAATATATCTACCTAATTTTAATTATGATTTTGAAAATTATTTAACCATACTTTTTAAATATATATCCACCAAATAATATGCCTACCTATTTATTCTAATTAAAATACTTTTTAATTATATTTTTAATCATGAAAATATACTTTTTAGATATATCTTTTTTAAATGAGTATATAAATATATTTACCATATTATACCTTCTAAAAAATAGTTTTTTTCTCTCTAAATTATATATATTTACTTATTGTCTTAAAAATTATTTAACCATACTTTTAGAGTTATTTTTTTATTAAAGAGTATATAAATATATTTATCATATTATATCTTTTAAAAACACTTTCTTTCTTCTTAAAAGCTATATTTACTTATTATTTTCTAAATAAATATTATGATGTTTACTAACACACATAAAAATATATTAAAACATAAACTTATTTTTAATACTAAACATAAATTATATTATTCATAATAAGTAATTATTTTTAATACTAAATATATTATACTAAAAGAGTATATAAATATATTTATAATATTATAACTTTAAAAATTAATTTCCTTCTCCCAAATTAATACTTTATCAAAATAACAATACAATATATTAATAAAACTTAATTTAAAAAAAAAACATTATTGTTTTATTAATCTTTCTTATACTGTTTTTTTTTAAAAATAATAATGTTTTAACAATTCCATTTTTAAATATATATTATTTTAATGTTTTAACTATTTTAATTCTGTTTTTCTTTATATATATATATATATATATATATATATATATATATATATATATATATATATATATATATATATATATATATATATATATATATATATATATATATATCATAGATTTATAAAACTGTTTTATAATGTTTTTAATTCTGTTTTTTCTATAAAAATATTTGATATTTTAATTCTATTTTTTCTTTAAATATATATTTTAATGTATTTTTCATAGATTTATAAAACCGTTTTTTAAATAAATATTTAACAAAACATTGTATTAAAAAAATACTATTTTAAACTATATATTTAAGTTGTTTTTTAACTATTATTTTTAAACTGTTTTATATTACTCTTTTTGAAAAATTACAATACTTCACAAAAATATTTTTAAACACAGTTTTTATATGTTACTTATTCTGTTTTTTTAAAATAAATTATAAAAAAATTCATATTATTTTCTAATTATATTTAAACAGTTATATCACAATAACTAATTATTTTGTTTTTTTTTATAAATAAGTAATATTTCACATTAATTATATCACAATAATTTATTTTAATAAATAAACAAAACATAATTTTTTTGTACCTTGAAGATGAACCCTCTAAATTTGAATTCCTTGTAGTAGTTTTATTATATGATAACAATAAAATCTGAAATTAAAAATCGAAAATTAAAATTATTAATAAATATGTTATATAAACAAAATTATATAAATTAGATATAAAATCATATAAAAAAATTATCTTAAATATATGAAGATAAAAGATTTGAAGATGAATGATTTGAAGATGAAGAAATAGAGAGAAGAATGTTGTTATAATGTTGGGTTGAAGATGAAGAAATGGAGAGATAGAGGAAACTATAGGGAAGAAACAAAAGGAGAGATAGAGATATATAAATAAGATGGCGTCGGGGTGCCCGTGGCAAATCCAACGGTTATAAATTACCATGGGGTGCCCCTCGTAAAATGTAAATTATATTCCCAAAGCCTGCACACCTGCACATGATGGGGCTGATTTGACTACACAACAGTGTCATTTGCAAGGGGATGCTCCACGGAAATGTAACGTTCTGATTTTGCTAGGGGTTGCCCCTCACAAATTACAAAAGAAATTTTGTGATGTATTACCCCTCGCTAAATGTAAAGCGGGTAAAAATTTTAAAATTCAAAATTTCCTCTTCATGGATAGCAATGGATTTTCCCACGCCATTAATTTTTTTCATTTTATTTTCTGATTTGTTGTTTGTGAGGGGTATATCCCCACGCAATGTTTGATTTTAGTGAGGGGTATAACATCTCACAAATACCCCTGACTAATATTACTTTTTCTTGTAGTGTGTTATGTTTCACATGGTTTTCCTATTAATTTCTTCTGGTTATATAGTTTATGATTCTTTTATTGTTGTATGTTGTTATATGTTGTTGTTGCATGTTGTGTTGTTGACAAATAAGTTTGTAGTTTCACATGTTGAAAATTTTCATGGTGTTTGTAGGACTCGAGAAAAGTGAATAACGAAACAACAACAGTAATAAACTTTATCTAATTTTAGAAGTTATGAAAAGAAATATAAGAGGTATGAAGTTATTGTGTTAACTTCATCCACCTTATATTTTTTATGGCTTCACAAACTAGATGAACTTCATATGGTGATGATGATGATGGTGGTAGAAAGCGTATAGTATGAGCTGATAAGGTACATATGGTTTGTGTAGCAATGGAGAAAATTCAAGAAGTATGAAGTCATTGTGGAAACTTTATCTATCTTGTATTTTTTTTCATTGCTTCACAAACTAGATGAACCTCATAGTTCCACGATTACTTTCAATAAAATGTGCGTTCTATAAACAACTTAATATATTTTTTGATATTGTATGTTGTTAGTGTTTTGTGGCTAAAATATATGTTTTTGTTTATTGTGTTGCATGTATTTGATGTGTTGTTCTATGATATTTTTGTTGACAAATATTCTCAAAAGAAGAATAAAATATTTCTAACTCATAAGAAAAAGGCTTATTGTGACTTAGCAATATTTTGTTCTTTACGTTCTTATACAGTTTGATAGAAGTTGGATTTTAGTTTATTATATACTATGTATATTGTTTGTTTCACTACCCTTTTAATGAAAAAGCAATCATTTAAATTGACATAGAAACTTATAATTTGAAAATTAAGATGTATTTGAAAACTAACCCATATCAATTAATGTTTTCAGAATCACGTGTGTCTCATTCTGCACATTTTATGTTCCTTAACCCATAAGATATTTCCTACAATACATCGATATCTATTATCCTACTTTACCTCGTCGTTGTCGCTTATCACCGTAATTGTTAAGATCATGATTGTTATGATGATAAGTCATCATAACAATCACGGTGATAAGCGATGATGATGAGGTAAACAATAATAAAAGATATTGATGCATTGAAGGAATCCGACCATTGAACTATATGTGTTAAAGAACATAAAATATGCATGATGAGATGTATGCAATTCGGAATACAGTGGTGTGTTTAAGTTGGTTTTCAAGAAAAGTTTAATTTTCAGATTATATATTTCTTTACCAATTTTAATAGTTGTATTTCTTTAATGAGGTGTATGGTAAAATAAGCAATATACATTGGTATATAATAAACTATAGGCCTTATCAAAGGCAGCGCTTTTTCTCCCTAAGCGCTGCTATAGGGTTTTAAAAAAATATAAAAATTAAAAAATTAATAAAAGCGCTGCTAAAGGGTATGCTTTAGACAGCGCTTTCAAAAAGCGCTGCTAAAGGTGTAAGTCTAAAAGCGCTGCTAAAGGGGGGGTAAACCTAAAGCGCTGCTAAAGGGGGGTACCTTTAGCAGCGCTTCTTGAAAGCGCTGCCTTTGTGTAAATCTAAAAGCGCTGCTAAAGGTGGGGTAAGCCTAAAGCACTGCTAAAGGGGGGTACCTTTAGCAGCGCTTCTTGAAAGCGCTGCCTTTGGTTTGTTAATTTATTTCTAAACCCCTAACCCCTAAATCAGATTTCCAGAAACACAAAATTAAACCCATATCGCTGTTCATCTTCTTCTCCATTCGTCTCCTCCCAAACTCCCCCTGTCTCACTCCATTACTCCCTTTGTTCCGTCATCTCTCCCATATAACTCCCTCCGGTAGTCATCCAACACCGCTTTTCCCCTGCAACTCGCCATCATTTCCCCTCCTCACCATAAACAAGCTTCCGCCAAAACAACTTCATTCAACCGTTCCATCTTTCTTTTTTCAACTCACCACCGATTCACGCTCCTTCATCATCTGCTTATCCAATCCGCAGCTTTTCTGCCTCCAAGACCACCAAACAGAACTGTAACACCTCCACACTTCTATATCTGCACTACCGGCTACTCCACAACCACCAACCAGACAGTTTCTCGTCAACCAACAATCGCGCACCTCTCAACAACTGCACCGCACCCAACTCACCAATCTGACCATCAATTCATCCGCACCAAGCCTCCGCTACCCGACACCGCCAGATCCACGACACCATCCTCTGACCATACGCTTTGCCACGGTTTCAGTCGGTAATATCTTTGTCTTGGATTTTTGTATGATACTTGTGGTTTAGAAATATGAACCATTTTTATGTATCCTTGCAATTTTCATTTTTTTTATTTGGGTCTAGTTTACTCAAAATTGAAAAGGGGGTGGTGTTGTTCTTCGAGAGAGAAAGAGAAAAGCATTCTGAAGGGTTTAATGATGTTTTGATAGTTTTTCTTTGGTCATATTGGTTTTAATTGTGTTTTTTTTAAAACATTTTAGAATGTGATTTGTGTTAGATTGGGTTTGGACCTCTTAACCGCTTCATCTTCATCGTTACCAACCACCACCATCAATTGTCAACCGTCTCCATCCTTCATCCCTTCGTCGTCCTCTAACCATTACCCTCCGCCTCGCATCAACGGCACAATCACCAACACAAGCAGCCTCCTCCGTTGCATCACCTTCGAATCTTCGGCCCACGGCTAATTCATTTTTTCAATCCAAGTAAGTGTTCCTATCATTAAAGCCTGTGCTTCTGGATTCATTCTTATGCAGTTGAAGAAAATCAATTAAGTTAAGTGATTATTGATTTATAATTGTTCACTATTGATGTGATTTGGTGTTAGATTGTAAAATTTAGCGAAAAGTTACGGAATTGGGTTCATATATATATATATATATATATATATATATATATATATATATATATATATATGGCCCTTTTAGGATAAATAGTTTAATTAAGCACTTATAGCATAAGCGCTTATAGCATATGTTAGCTCTCCTTCTTGGTAAGTTATGTGGGTGAGTTTTAGTTTGTGGCACAGTTTTATTTATATTTGTTGCTTTGTGTGTTGAATTTGTCCTTGGTGCAAGTGTTGGAATAGCAGTTGGAACCCAATTATTATTGTTATTGCAATTTGATCCTTCATCAACAGATAACTGTTGCTGCTGATAGTACAAATTCCTTGCATGTGCATGATAAGGATCACTAGCTCCAAAAACATTCTCATAACCAAATCCCTTTATCTGATCACTATCACCAAAACTGTTGTTGCTTCTTCTTTGATTTTGGTTTTGGTTACTACCATCATTTCCCATAATAGTAGTAGTAGCCATTGGAATCATATATCCGCCGTTTCCTCCATAGCCACCGTGATCTCCACCACCGTAAACAACAGAATTTGAACTAGAACTATTGTCCATAGAAGCAGAATCCATACTCATGATATTTTGCAAACCAAAGAAATTGTGAGTATTATTGTTATTGTTGTTATTCCCTAACTGTAGCTGTTGATGATGAATATGATGATCAGTAGTAGTATAAGTATTATGATCATCAGAATCTTGTTCTTGCTTACACCAAAGCTTCTGAGTTTGAGTTTGTGCACCATAAGGGTAATGCTGCAACTGCATGTTGTTGGTATTGTAAGGGTGTTGTGGTTGTTGGAATGAAAGAGCATGCCAATTAGCTGCTGCATAGTTGTTGATGACTTGATCTGTTAAATGGGAATTAGTAGCATTATTATTGATGATGCTATGATGATGATGATCTTGGCCAATATTATCCACCACATTAACACTCAATAATTCAACTTGCTCCATATCTTTCAAACGCTTTGCAGCACCACTGATCGGTAAAGTGCTGCTCTCAAGTATGGTTTTCACATCGTATCGACTCATGTCGAAATTTGTAACCGCACTTAGTCCTCTGAACTTTATGGCTGCTACATCATATGCCTCTGCTGCCTCTTCTTGAGTGCCTACAGAAAAGATTCATTCATTATTATGATGTCTCATCACATATATATTTGCATATATACTTTTAGAACTCATAATTCTAAGACATGAAATATGGATGATTGGACATGTATACAAAAGAAATTATAGGTATAAGAACTAGGTGCATGTGTCTATTATAATCAAAGATTCCATTTTCAGGTTTAATTAATACTCTTATATATATATATATATATATATATATATATATATATATATATATATATATATATATATATATATATATAATAGTGAAACTGGCTAGCTTACTGAAAGTTCCTAGGTAGAGATCTTTGTTGCCTACAACTCTTCCAATCCTTGCTTGCCATCTACCATGTTGATGATGTCTGCAATCACATCATTCAAATAACAAGAAATGCATGTTTTAGTGTGTTCATATATGTTGCTGTTACTTCAATCCTTGGAGAGAAATTAATAGTGTTATATAACTGGACATTGATGAATCATTAATTTTATTTTAAGAAAATTCATAAACACAGAAACTTTAATACTAGTCAAATTTACCTAGTTACTCCTCGGTAAATGGATGCACCGCGAGAAAAACCACTACTTTTCCTGTTTTAATATTTCAATTAATGTATCAATCAATAAACAAAGGTTTGTGAATCAAATTAGTAGAAGTGCATGTATAGTCTCCTTCTTGGTAAGTTATGTGGGTGAGTTTTAGTTTGTGGCACAGTTTTATTTATATTTGTTGCTTTGTGTGTTGAATTTGTATTACGCATGATGAGCAAGACGTGTTTCCTACAAAAGCAGAGGTGGCCACTTATGTTGCTGCAAGTGCGGCGGCCACTGTCGCTTATGTCCTTTTGAAATTGCTTTGTAAAACTCTTCATTTTATGGATATATTATGGTTACATACTTGTTGATATGTTTTTCATATCTCAAATAACTGTCATATGTTGAACAAAGTAAGGTAAACCAAGGGCCTAAACTACTATTTGTACATTTGTAGTACAAGTATGATAATAAGCTTTTAGTTTGACCCCCTTTTCCTATGCATAGTTTCACAGATAATTCTGTTTAACCCCAAGAACAGATGATATGCAGTAAAAATCAAAGAAAAAAAAATGCATCATACAAAACTGGAAAATATGCATCATGCAAACCCATATGTCAATTTTAATATATCTTATATTTCTGCACAACAATTAACTGAGTTGGTTTAACGAGACTAATGAGTTTTATGTATTGTTTTTACAATGAATGCTACAGGAAATCAAGATGTTAGAATAGTTCATCACCAGAATTTGAATAAGAGAATTCTACTAGCATTGATTGCTTCTTCTGCTATTGCTGGAATCTTCATCTTCTTATTGTTTTTCTTCTTACGGCGAAATAGAAAATTAACAATCTCTGCGATTAAAAGCCGAGGAACCTTAGGTATTATGGTTTCTATTCTCTCTTTTGAAACTTTTATTTTGACTTTTTTTAAATCTAAGATATATTATGGACTAGTCAAAATACCATTCAACATGACACTTAATTTCCCTACATTGTTTCTTTTCTGTTTCTTATAATGTATGCTTAGCTCATGTAGACATGCCTGCAAGGAACAAAGGAATCACATCATGTAAATCCCCCATCTAATATTCAACTTAGTAATAGTAAAAAATAACACAAATCATGAATCTTAGAATGAGTTCACAACTAAGCTAATGTCTCTAAAATTGTAACATTGACGATCATTGATTGAATATGTTATAGGACCACAACAATCCTCATTTCTAGAATTGTTCTAATCACATGTTTGATTTTTGTTGACAACACAGAGTCTTTAACTTAGATAATAGTTAAAACCATGGATAAAAAATGGATGTGTGCCGATCGATTGTCAAAAGAGTACGAGGATGGGGTATTAGAGTTCGTTAAGTTTGCTGTTGAACACGCTGAAGACCCGAATAGAATGAAATGTCCTTGCTTGGGTTGTTGTTATGTGGGTCGGGTTGATGCAGATGGATTGAAATCGCATTTACTAATGCGCGGAATTGATCGAAGTTATACGTGTTGGATATATCATGGTGAGAAAAGCATCGAGAATGTTGAACCGGGGGTGAAAAGTAATGCGACCTGTGTTTCGTACGACAATGCCACGGATACATATGATTGTGATCGGGTGGAAGAGATTGCAGAAGCACTTGAAGAAGATCTTCAAGATTGTCCCAAAATGTTTGAGAGGTTGGTAAGCGATGCGGAGAAACCGTTGTATAAAGATTGCCCCAAATTCACAAGATTGTCTGCGGTATTAAAATTGTACAACTTAAAGGCGCGCAATGGATGGTCAGATAAAAGTTTCACACAATTATTAGCCCTTTTGAGAGATATGCTTCCTGAGGATAATGTTCTTCCTAATCGAACCTACGAGGCCAAAAAAATGTTGTGCTCTATTGGCATGAGCTATGATAAGATACATGCATGTCTAAATGATTGTATTTTGTTTCGAAACGAATATGCATCGTTGAATGAGTGCCCAAAGTGCGGTTTATCTCGATATAAGAAAAAATTATCTCCAGCGAAAGTCTTATGGTATTTTCCTATTATTCCGAGATTTAGACGCATGTTTCGTAGTGAAACCGATGCTAGACACTTGACTTGGCATGCAGATGAAAGAATTATCGATGGAAAGTTTCGACATCCGGCAGATGCACCACAGTGAAAGAAAATTGATAATGATTATCCTGATTTTGGAGGAGAAACAAGAAACCTTCGCTTGGCATTATCTACGGATGGAATGAATCCGCATGGTCTTCAAAGTATCTCACATTCCACATGGCCTGTGATTCTTATGATTTATAACCTACCTCCATGGCTATGTATGAAGCGCAAGTACATGATGTTATCTATGTTAATTTCTGGGCCTAAACAACCAGGGAATGACATAGATGTATACTTGAAACCTTTAATCGAAGATTTGAAGATTTTGTGGGAGAACGATGTGGAGGTTTATGATGGATATAGGAAAGAAAGTTTCAATTTGAGGGCGATGTTGTTTGGCACAATTAACGATTTTCCAGCATATGGAAATCTATCCGGGTATAGCATTAAAGGTGAAAAAGCGTGTCCTGTCTGTGAAGATCGAACCGATACGACATGATTGAAACTTTGTCAAAAGAATGTCTTTCTCGGTCATCGTAGATTCTTAAATTCAAAACATCAATATCGTGGATGGAGAAAAGCGTTCAATGGAAATACCGAACAACGTAGAGCTCCACCTGGATTGACAGGTGATCAAATTTGTGAAAAGGTGAAAGATGTGAGTATTCAGTTTGGCAAGCCTTTTGCACATAAAGTTGTCACAGGTGGGTGGAAGAAGAGGTCAATTTTTTTTTAATTGCCATATTGGAAATCTTTGTACGTAAGACATTTTCTTGATGTTATGCATATTGAAAAAAATGTATTTGAAAGTGTTATTGGTACGTTACTCAATATAAAAGGAAAGTCTAAGGATGGCCTTAAAGCAAGAGAGGATATGGTAGAGATGGGAATAAGAACTGAATTAGGACCTGTGAAGAAAGGAAGACGAACATATCTACCACCTGCTTCTTATACTCTATCTAGAAAGGAAAAGAAAATATCGTGTAAGTTTCTGAGTGAAGTTAAAGTTCCAGAAGGTTACTCCTCAGACATTAGAAGACTCGTGTCCATGAAAGACCTCAAGTTAAAGAGTCTGAAGACACATGATTGCCATGTCATAATGGAACATTTTCTACCAATAGGTATACGTTCTATTTTGCCAGAAAAAGTAAGAAGCGCTATAACTAGATTGTGTTTTTTTTCAGGTCAATTTGTAGTAAGGTGATCGATCCTGAGATCTTACCAGTATTACAAAAATAAATCGTTATTACTCTGTGTGACCTTGAAATGTATTTTCCTCCATCATTTTTTGACATTATGGTACATCTTGTTGTTCATCTTGTGAAAGAGACACAATTGTGTGGACCAGCTTATATGAGATGGATGTACCCTGTTGAACGTTATATGAAAATATTAAAAGGGTACGTGAAAAACCGAAGTCGTCCAGAGGGTTGTATCGTTGAGCGATACGTTGTTGAAGAAGCGGTTGAGTTTTGTACTGATTTTTTGTCCAATGTGCAATCCATTGGACTCCCCAAATCTCATTTCTTCGAAAAAAAAGAAGGTAACAAATTAATTGGAAATGAAATTGTGACAGTATCAAGGGATGAACGGGATCAAGTGCATTTGTATGTTCTGCACAATGACACTGAGGTTGAGCCGTTTGTTGAAATGCACAAGGCTATACTCCGAGGTGAGAATCAAAGTAGAAATGAAAATTGGATAGTACGAGAGCACAATCAAAGTTTTATACAGTGGTTTAAGGATCATATATATTCAAAGTTTCATTCAGATCCCGCTTCAATATCAGGCAGGTTGAGATGTTTGGCATATGGTCCAAGTTCGATTGTGTTCTCTTATAGAGGATACAGAATTAATGGATACACATTTTATACCAAAGAACAAGATGAGAAAAGTACCATGCAAAATAGTGGTGTCACGGTGGTATGTGAAGCAATGCACATTTCTGGTATGAAGGACTTAAACCCCAAATATGAAAATTTGTCATATTTCGGGGTTATCAATCACATCTGGGTGTTTGATTATGAGAAGTTTCATATTCCTATCTTTGGTTGCAAGTGGGTACATACTAGTGGCATACGAATGGATAAGTCAGGGTTTTTGCAAGTGGATCTTAGTAGGGTGGGGTACAAAGATGAGCCTTTTATTCTAGCCTCTCAAGCTAAACAAGTGTTCTATGTCACAGACCCGAAGAGTACGAAATGATCTATAGTGCTTTTATCTAACAAAGTGATTGATGATAAAAGTGTGGATCAAGTTGATGTTGATGTTGAGAATGAGTCGTATATTAGAAACGATCGAGATGATGATACTACAGCGGATGAATCATATATCAGAAAAGATCATGATGAGGGAATTTGGATCAATCCCTCCGTCCGCGTTCTTAAGAGACAAGTAATTCAGAATCCAACCAAGAAAAGAAAGAGATGTTAGTGAAAGAGGTAATATATATTCCTCCATACCTGTTAACACTTAGCAAACTTCTAATAAATTATATATTTGTCATTTTATATACTCAATTGATATTTGTCATTTTATATACTCAATTGATATTTTTCATTTTATATACTCAATTGATATTTGTCATTTTATATACTGAATAGATATTTGGAATTATATATTTGGAATTCAATATTTGTCATTAGATACTAATGTTTTTCTTTATTACAGGTTAGATGGCTAGTAACGAGGAGCACCCTCATGATGATTCTATTAATGATGGAGACAATGATGGAGGAAAATCTAGTAAGGGAGTGGAAAAAGAAATAAAAAGAGGAAAAACAATAATGAAGAATATCATTCGTGATAGAGATAAGGGTATACAATATGATGTGCATTGGAGTCTGTGATACGGTGGGAGAACTGACTATGGTTTTGCGTTTGTTTTCGCAAATGTTTCGGTTGAGCAAGAGTCGCCACCGACTTTTTATTTTATCCTAAGGAAAGGTTAAAAAGCACAGCAAAAACCTTTGAGATGTTTTCTTGGGTTCGGGGAGTAGATTATAGAAAGGGAAGGTATTAGCACCCTTTCTATCCATGGTTATCCATGGGCTCTTAGTTACTTGCTTAGATCACTTGCCTTTTGTTTTCAATTGTTTGAAATGGTGCTTGTGTGTGTGGGTTTGAAAATGTTTTGAAAAGAAGCCAATGTGGTGGCAACCTTTGTAATGATCCATGTTGGGATGTATACAAAGATGTACGTCTTTTGAAAAGGCTTTCATTTGTTTTTTTTGAAAGTTTGTTTTGAAAGTGTTTGTGAAGTGTGGTTTTAGAAAATAGGCAAGTGTTTTGTTTTTTGCAAGTTGATTTAAGTAACTAAGAGGTTATCTACTCCTAAATTTCTCAAAGATTATTGCTATGTTTTAACCCTTTTAACAAGTTTGTTCCACCATTGTATTTGGTGGGCAATCTCATGTTAGGATGTGAAAGGGACGGGCACGGGTCATCGTTTAGACCATAATTGCAATGGTGCTAAGTATCTTTAGGCAATTTTCTTTGAGGGACTTGATCATTTGTGTAGGCAACATTTTGAAAGCGTCATCGAGGGACTATGATCATTTGATTTGTGTTTATTTTGCCCAAAGAGACCTAACATGCAATATGGCCCAATTTTGAAAGGCAACAAGTGGAATACCCTAGGGGGTGCAAGTGTGATTTGTGTGTTCATTTTCATGCTTGTTTGTCTTGAGATTAGGTCATAACTATTTTTGTCGT